TACCGAACCAGAGCCTCTGTCTTCATTCTTAAGTTACAATACTCTGGCTGCTACCGAGCTGTCCTTCGTAACTGCGAGGACTTTCTTTCAGTATACAACAATAAAATATATCTGAAATGTATATCTGAAATATATCTGAAATGATGATCCAGTGGGTCACAAGTTGTTTAATAGGGGTTATAAACGAATCCATTACACCACATTAAACATTTCCAGAAACAACTAACCAAGACAACCAGAGGATAGATGGTTTTCTAATTCACTTTTCTGGTCTATGGAAGAGATTTAAAAAGAAAAGAATCCTGTAGAAAAATGATTGACAGTGCAAATCAATCATATTTGGTTTCTTGTACAATGTTCTGATTTATCTAGAATAAACTGCTAAAATGAGATGTGTTGTACCTCACAAAAACAGACAAAATGTGCAAGATTTTTAGGCGAACTTCAATGTTAATCATGCAGAAAATAGAAATAAATTTTTAAACCAGGTTTTAAAAATCTTTTCAAGCAATAGAACCTGCTAATTTTTTTAAAACGCCCAGGACCTTGATGAAGAGTTCTAATGAGAGAAAATTAACTGCATTTGTGGTGTGTGTGTGTGTGTGTGTGTGTGTGTGTGACTTGAATTTTGCAGAATACAGTTTGAAATCCTGTTGAGCCACTGAAAAAAAGCTGAACATTTACAATCTAGGGAAAATCAACAAAATCATTTTAAGATGTTAATGTAGAAAGGAAAATAGATTTAATAGATGTAATGGAAACTCTCACGACTGATAGATAATTCATAGATAACACAAACTACATTTCAAAGAATAATTTTTGTTTCAGTTGGAGTCAGTTTGATGAAGTGATTAAGGCACCAGGCTAGAAAGCTGGAGATCGAGAGTTCTAGTCCCACCTTAGGCACAAAGCCAATTGGGTGACTTTGGGCCAATCACTTTCTTCAACTCTAGAAAGGAGGCAATGGTAAACAATGTCTGAAATCCTAGATGAGACTTGATCAGGCAGTCTCTAGTGCTCAAAGATACTTGAAGGTGTGAACACATACGCAGAAACACACAAAAGAACAGAAGAAACTGAAGGAAAAGAAGAAGGCAATTGCACCATACTGTATGTGTGTGCAAAAGACCTTTTGAAAGCAAATTGCTTCTGATTTTATGCTTAAAATATCAAGTGGGTTTGAGAAAGACCCCTGTGGGAAGACCCCATATTTATCATTATCGCACAACTTCCTGAACATTTCAACTATTGAACTTTTAAATTATTGTAGTGTAGTTTCCACAATAATTGATATGTCTATGCACCCTATGCTTTCTCCCTACATTGCTAACATAAGTTTAGGATTTTTTTTAACATATTTGACACGAATATGATAGTTATATAAAACATTTTATTCATTATAGCTATTAATATATGTTCTGCCCAGCATGGCATAATTTGTGTATCCAGTCTTAGAGCATTTTCAGTCTTTCTTCTCAACAATTCAACTGGTATTTGTTTTCCTTCACTTTTTTTTTGTGTTTGCCAGGAAATGTGGTTTATTGTACAATAGAATTTTTTCATTTGGCCCATACAATGGATACCCTAAATAAAGAAACATTCTATTGACTTGTACATTTTCTGGGCGGCCATTGAATACAATGAACAAAATAACATTAACTAGATAAACATCTATCCTGATGTTTTAGAAAAGGCACCTGTCACAAACAGGATGAAGAGGTCAAACCTATGGCACATTAAGCATTGGAACTGTGGATGTTTAATTAATGTTCAGTGTGATTATACAAGAGAAATGACTTCAAATACACAGCTTATAAGCTTTGCCATAGAAACCTGGACTATAATTAATGGGAGCAATTAATATGCCCTCATTTTCAAGTGCAGGTGGATATGAAAACATCTGCCTGCTCTTTCTTGCTCTCAATCCCCCATGGCCTTAAAAGGTTAGGAGATTAGTACCTCGCCTTAACCCTGCAGCATAACATTTTCAACCTCTGACTGCACCCCCCCCCTACAGAATTTTAATTTTGGTTCATAGTAAAACCTGTTTGATACACTTCAACGTTTTGCTAGAAATCTCTGAAATCATGTTGCTGGAATCTTTCTCTTGTCAGAAGAAGTTAATTGAGAAATGAAAACCCATTCTATAGGGCAGAGGTGTCAAACTCGATTTCACGGAGGGACGCATTAGGTTTGTGTTTGACCTCAGTGTGTGACCAGGGTGCGCGTGGCCAGCTTGACGTCACTCATTTTAGGGTTGCCTGTGGTGGCCTGAGTGCCCTGCCAGCGAAAACCAGCTGCTGATCTCCGTTTTCTGGCATGAGCTCTATTTTTGGTCACGATGGTCTCCTGCAACCCTCTGCCTGTGAAAATGGATCTCAGGAGGTCTGTGGTATTTGCTGTTTCCAGAGTGGCCCTGCAGGCCAGATCTAAGCACCCCGCAGGCCGGGCCTTGAGTTTGACACCCATGCTATAGGGCTTTTTACAAAAATAAGTTGACAGGATTTTTGGGGGTGTCAGGCTTATTAAAATGTTATAGTTTGGAAGACATTCTTTTATGGAAGCTGGTAGTGTTTTAGAAAAGGAAAGGGAAAAAGGATTAAAGCCACTCTTGCTTTGATTTGTTATGAATTTTCTTTGTACACTAATCTACATCTCATTTTATTCTCCCAAAGCTCTTTCTTCCCCTTCTGAATCTTCAGTGCTCCCCAGATGTCCATGCATTTCTGTGCAAAGCCTTTGTGCCTGCTTGCTTTGAACAAACACGTGTTGTATACCCTTGCCGGAGCCTTTGTGCAAGAGTGTATGAGGACTGTAAAAAGATGATAGACATGTTTGAAATTGGATGGCCTAAGGAACTTGAATGCAGCAGGTACAGCGCTTTTCATATATTTCTTACCCTCTTAATTTCTATTTGTTGAATTTATACTCTGTGGCAGTCTCATGATTCAGAAATGTTCAAGAACTGAAAAAGAAAGAAAAAATAAAACAACCATAGTAGAATTCAAACAAAAACAACATAAAAAAGAATTAAAAAATAAACACTATTTCTACTAGAATTGACTTAGGTCCATGATGGCAAACCTATGGCACGCATGCCACAGGTGGCACATGGAGGGCACGTGATGCGTTGTCCTATGTCAGCTCCAACGCATATGCACGTGTTGGCCAGCTGTTTTTTGGCCTTTTGGAGGGCAAGGGGGGGCTGTTTTCACCCTCCCCAGGCTTCAGAAAGCCGCCGTAGCCTGTGGATGGCAAAAAACAGGCCCAACAAGCCTAACAGAAGTTCGGAGGCTTCAGTGAGGCATGTGTGGGTGGTGCGGGGGCAAGGTTGTATGCATTTGCGCGGGGGAAGGGCATTGCCTTATGGATGTGAGCACGCACGCGCTATCAGAACCCAGAAGAGAGCAGCTGGCCGATGTGCATGCACGATGTGCCAGCTGCTCTTCTGGGTTCTGTAGTGCCCATGTGTTGTGGCCAGCTGCTCTTCACATGCCGGAATCCAAAAGAAAGCAGCTGGCCAGTGCACATACATGCTGGACCAGCTGTCTGGGGCCACATGCACACGACGGAACCCAGAAGACCAGCTGGCGAGAGTGTGCATGCCCACAGAGAGGGCTCCATCTGGCACCTCTGGCACGTGTGCCATGGATTCACTATCCCGGCCTTCAGCAGTCTGTAAAGTGGGGAAGTTATTCTCGGAGCTCTGGATTGACTTTTAGCAACTTTTGTGTTTGAGGCACAAGAGGCACATTATTGCTTCAGTGTACCTGAGACTGTGTTCCCTCATAGTGATCCTTTGTGCATTCTTGCCTATTAATTTTGTTTTCTCTCTGTTTAAATTGTATATATATGTAGATTACAATTTTCTACAAACTAGCTTGCTTTCCTTTACCTAAAAGATTACATAAAAATAATGAAGTGTGCGTATATTTACAAAACATTTAAGTTGAACACCTGGAATTACAGTAAAAGCTTTAACATCTTGTTAAAATATTTAACCTTGTTTAATAAAGATTTACAAATAAAATATACCTAGAGTATGCTTACAAACATACGTCTCGTGTTTTGAGAAGTTTTGTGTGTGTGTTTAGAGTAACAGGCAAATGGAACCCTGGGTAGCCTGGAGCCAATTCTATAGTATCATAACCAATTTCCCCCTCTTTTCACTTTCTAGACTGGAGGACTGTGATGAAACTGCTGCTGCCACTGCTTCTTTTACTACAAGAGCCCAGGACACATGGAAGATCCCAGGGCAGCCCAAAAGGGACTATGGATTTTGGTGTCCACGTCATTTGCAGACATCCAGTGGACAAGGCTATAGGTTTTTAGGCATTGAGCAGTGCGCACCCCCTTGCCCCAACATGTACTTCAATAATCATGAGCTAGAAGTTGCCAAAAGCTTTATTGGCATTGTTTCAATTTTTTGCCTTTGTGCCACTCTGTTTACGTTCCTAACATTTTTGATAGATGTTAAAAGGTTCAGGTATCCAGAGAGGCCAATTATATACTACTCTGTTTGTTATAGTATAGTGTCTCTCGTTTACTTCCTCGGGTTTGTCCTGGGAAACAAAACAGCCTGTAATAAGAGCGATGAAAAGCTGCAGCTTGGCGAAACAGTCGTTCTTGGGTCTCAGAACAAAGGTTGCACCCTTGTCTTCATGGCTTTGTACTTTTTCACAATGGCCGGAACTGTCTGGTGGGTGATCCTCACAGTCACTTGGTTCCTTGCTGCTGGAAGAAAATGGAGCTGTGAAGCTATTGAACAAAAAGCCATGTGGTTCCATGCAGCTGCCTGGGGCATGCCGGGGTTTCTCACAGTGATGCTCCTTGCCATGAACAAAGTGGAAGGTGACAACATTAGTGGCGTCTGCTTTATTGGCCTCTACGACTTAGCTACATCTCGATATTTTGTTCTCCTGCCTTTGTGCATTTGTGTCTTCGTTGGTTTATCCCTCCTTTTAGCCGGTATAATTTCTCTAAATCATGTGCGCCAAGTCATACAGAATGATGGCAGGAATCAAGAGAAGTTGAAAAAGTTCATGATTCGAATTGGCGTCTTCAGCGGCTTATACCTCGTACCTCTAGCGATACTCTTGGGCTGCTACATCTATGAGCAGGTGTATAGGAAGATATGGGAAACCACTTGGGTTTATGACCACTGTGATCAATTCCATATACCCTGTCCTTATGAGGTAAGATTGAACTCTTAGCAAACTTAATGCTTGAATGACAAGGAATAGGGTATACGATTTTGGGGTTGGGGTTGTATGTTTTGATGAATCAATTAGTCCATGGGCAAGGAGAACATTGTTTTGAAAGAATATCTGATGCTACCAGTACTTTAGGAGACCTGAAAAGTTTCTGTAACTGTTAAATATGGTAGCTCAGGGTTGTATAATTTATTTTGTGAGGGCCAAATTCATTGCCCGTATCATGAAGTGTATAATTAAGGGCTTCATGATTGTAAATCTTTAAATTGAAGATGGTAGAAGGACCATATTATTCATTTGAAATACAAAATTTGTTACTGGAGCATAATCTTATAAGTTTCAGATCTGGTGTCTTCCTGTTATAGAAGATAACTTTTTAAATTGTTAGTTAGTTAGTTAGTTAGTTAGTTAGTTAGTTAGTTAGTTAGATAGATTGATTGATTGATTGATTGATAGATAGATAGATAGATAGATAGATAGATAGATGGATAGATAGATAGAAAGAAAGAAAGAAAGAAAGAAAGAAAGAAAGAATGCTTTATTGGCCAAGTGTGATTGGACACACAAGGAATTTGTCTTTGGTGCATATGCTCTCAGTGTACATAAAAGACAAGATACATAAGGTACAGCACTTAATGATAGTCATAGAGTACAAATAAGCAATCAGGAAACAAACAATATCAATATAAATTGTAAGGATACAAGCAACAAAGTTATAATCCTGCAGCCATAAGTGGGAAGAGATGTGTGATAGGAATGATGAGAAGAATAGTAATAGTAATCAGCCTTAGTGAATGGTTTGACAATGGTGAGGGAATTATTGGTTTAGCAGAGTGATGGCATTCGGGAAAAAACTGTTCTTGTGTCTACTTGTCTTGGTGTGCAGTACTCTAGCATCGTTTTGAGGGTATCTTCATAGACTAGTTAGCAGCATCCTCGGCATTGGATGTATACATATATACATTCTCAAACATTTAAAATTGAGAAAATTAATAATTTGCATAATAAACATCTTAATTAAATGGACATTTGAGGTTAATATGTACCCCTCCAATAAAGTCACATAAAGTCATTTAGAAACAAAAATAAGCAAGATAAGTAACTGCAAGTTAAGTATATTTGGTATCACTTCCGAGTGTCATTTCAGTATTATAAAACTTTGAAGCTCTAAAGCAGTTTAATTTTTTTTCTACATGATATCTCAGGTTTTCTGTTCTATGAAATTATAAAGGCTGGTAGGGTAGTTACTTCTAATCTCGAATATGCAAAAAGAAGGAAATAAAATTCCATCGTTCATTTGTACCATTAAAATTTCTAAAGATTTGAGTGTGTAAAGTAGATATTCTTAGTCTTAAGTTTTTTATCTTTCCACTATAAATCAGAAACTGCTATTTTTCATTTTGTCCTCTGAAATGTAGTGCAGGAAAACCGTTTCTCCATTGTATTTTCAGTAAATGCTTATTGTTTTCCAGGTCAAAACATTAGCTAGACCGGAAATAACTTTGTTTCTAATGAAGTACCTGATGACTTTAATTGTTGGCATCTCTCCAGTCTTCTGGATAGGAAGTAAAAAGACCTGTTCAGAATGGGCAAGTTTCTTCAACAGAAATCGCAAAAGAGAGTAAGATGTGTTTTTGTATTTTGTCATTTTTACTTATAGATAAAATATCTTAATATATATGTTTGAATGTATTAAAATTCCTTAATACTTCCATACTTGGAAAATACATATTTCAAGTATATATCTTAGGATGCTTTGTGACTTTTCCCTTGTGCTGCAGGGATAAAGTGCTTTAGGGATATGAATACTGTGATCTAGAGATAACCATTTTGTTTTATTAAAAACTGCATATGTAAATAACATATGAGCATTTTTAGATTCTAAGTGACAAAGTCTACTAGTTTTATGAACAGTCCAAGTTCAGAATGAATATATTAAGGACTCAAGATTTGACCATTTATCCAGATTCTAGCTATGTTCACATGAAGCCAAATAAGTCAGTTAACATTTTTAGCTTAATGTGTTGTAATGCTTTGCAACATTAAACCCCAATCCCATAAGCTAATGTATTACATAGTGTGTTTTCAGTAAATTATAGTTTAGTAATGATAGGCAAGCATGCTCTGAAAATACAGAAATGTGTAGGCAACTGTTAGTGCTATGTTCAAGCCAACAAGTTATATGTTGAATGGAGCTAAATAGCAGAGAAAGAAACAATTAATGGAATGGTTTCCAAAACAAAGCAGATAGTAGTCTCCTTCAGTGATATGGGCAGCTAGATAAATTTGATAAATGAATAAATACGCTGAGGAACCAAAGATACAGATGCAGGCCTAGAGAAACAATTGAAGAAGAAGGCATAAAATAACAAGAAAAAAATAGGCCAGACTCAGAGAACACACACACAGCACTGTCACTCTCACCAAATGGACCAGACAGGAAACATGACTAGATATGTTGATTGTACTTTATTGTAAAATTATATTAACAGAATCTTATAGTGTAGTTCTCCCACCATCTCCTTTACAACTGAGAAACTAGGCAAAGCCCCTTCTGAACCTCTTGCTCTACCCAACTTTCCAGTTGCGGACTATGCTGACTGTTATATGGCCCTTCCCCAAGCAACATCTCTTCAACCTCTCTTCCAAGGTCGTCCCCATATATTGCTGACAGTCGCACAGTACCAGAAGAAGGTAGATCGTGAAACATAAATATTACAAGCTGGTTGAGTGGCTTTAAAGAGTTAACAAAGGAAAAGACAAAGGATGTGTGATTGGTAGAGCAACAGTTCCTACCATCGTGCCATCCAGATATAGTGAGATTCGAGTTACTATTGAGGCTACTTCTCAGACAGGATGTGCACTTTACAAACTCCATTGAGTTTAACAGGATAAATATCTATAGCTCCATCATTTTTCCCACCTGATTTCATTCAGGTATAATCTGCCAGAGTTACCTCAGGGCGAAATGTGTGGCAAACAAATTTAATAAATAAATAAACTACTAGACTAGTTTGGAGAAACTCTGATTTTCCAAATATTTTTTTTAAATCTTTCGCTAGACTTAGTAAGCATGGCCAATGGGTAGGGATGATTTGGGGGTGGGGGGCAACAAAGATTCCACCATTTAGCTAGATAACTGAATCATAAAGTTAAAAGGTCCATTTTGGCCATGAAGTCCAATCTGCTACTTTATAAAAATCTAAATTAAAGGAGCTAGGACAGATGACTGCAGTCACACTTTTGAGTACATACAGTGAAGGGGATCCCATCACCATTTTTGTTAATTTCTTCTGCTTTTAACTGTTCTCCCTGCTCCAAGATTAATTTTGCTTTCCAACTTTGTTTTCCAACCTCTGAGTTGATAAATAACAGGTCTTAAACTTCTTCAAGACATAACTTTGGGTACAGATAGTCCCCGACTTACAATTGGAGTCTGCCTGTTATGGTCATAAATCATGAATGTCATAAAGCAGGTCACACACATGACCTGATTTTACAACTTTTCCCCCCATTTCTTCAGTTTGGACTTAACCTTGTAATTATCCTCCTTGTTTTCAAGTGTTCTAATCCTTCATTGAGTTGTTTGTAACTTTATTTTCCTCTTCATTTTTTTTTGATCTGGAAAAAGTCCCCAGAGAAAGAGAGCACACATCTGCATTTAACAACCTCTTCCATTATCTGTCAACTCCCATAGCCAAGAAGTTCCTGCTGGTGTCTAGCCTGAATCTGTTTCTGTGGAGTTTTAAGTGGCAGGTTCTGGTCCTGCCCTGTGGGGCAGTAGCAAAAACATCCACTACCTGTTACGTATGATAGTCCTTCAGATATTTGAGGACTGTTGTCATATCTCTTCTCTGTCTTCTATAGCAGCAGTCACCAACTGGTAGTCTGTGAGAAACTTTGGGTGGTCCGTAGAAAAATTATTTGCAATTTTTATATTGCACTAAATCAGGGTCCTCAAACTACAGCCTCTGGGCCGGATATGTGCAATGAACGCTTGTGTTGCTACAGAGAGTCTTCCCCTTCAGGGTCTTTTTGTGCGGGTCAGAGGGGGCAGAAATTCCGACTTGGGGTCTGCTTCAGCCCTGGTGCAGGGCTTTGGGCGAAAGCTGGAGGAAAGTGCCACTGGTGTCAAACAGCCGGAGGGCCTTGTTCCAGTGGGACTGTATCATGGCCTTGAACTGGCTGACCATCTCAGCTCGCAGAGCCTCCAGGCGCCGGTACCTGGCCTCCCGCAGGTCTTCCCTCTGCTTGGAAAATGTATGCTCTTAGACCTCAGTAAGGTGCTTCTGCTGAGCCTCCTTCTCGATCAGATCCAATTTGAACTGAGCCAGCTATTTTGCCAACTCTTTCTCATGATGGCTGCTTCCTGGGGCATGCGGGCGAGTAGTGGCTGGGAGGGAAGGGGTGAGAAGAGGCCGGCGATGCGCCCCTCGTGAGTGACATCAAGTTGGCCACACCCATCCAGTCACACAACCACCTAACCCTGCCCACCCAGTCAGTTATTCAGTAGATCATATTAAGTCCACGGGATTTAAAATTATGAATTTAGTGGTCCCTGAAGTCCAAAAGGTTGGGGACCCCTCTTCTATAGACTAGATATATCCAGATCTTTAACCATTCCTCAAAGGCTTTAGATTCCAGACCTTCAACCATGTCTGTAGTTTTTCTCTAACTAACTCAAATTTATCAATATCTTTTGAATAGTGCTTCCCGGAACTTGACACAGCAGTCCAAAGGAGCCTGACCAGGGCAGAATAGAAAAAAATATCTTCCTGTGCCCTGGAACCTATGCTCCAGTTAATGAGTTTGACAGATAGTACTTTTTAACAGCATGATCACTCGGTTTGCATTGGTTGACTGATCCTTTGCACACAGTCAAGGCTGATCTCCACTATTTTATACTTAGACCTTATGTTTCTTCTCCCTGGATGCATTTTATATGTCTTCCTTTTGTGTTCATTTCCATCTACTTCTTAAATTGTCGAGGTATTTTGTAATTCTTTTTTTTTTCATTTAAAGTATTAGCTACTTTTCCCAACTTTATATCAGCTGCAAATATTGCAAGCTTTCCTTGCAGTTTATTTTCATTTCTGCAGATTTACTACAAAAACTGAAAAATATTGGAAGTACAATCTGGCATAAAGTGAAATCTACAAGTATTTTGAGATTGTCTTGGATAAGTTGGAGGTTTTACCTTCAGTTGATATATCTAAATAATTATAGAAAAAAGGGGTAATTAGCATTATTTCTATCTTTTCCCCCATCAGTCCAATCAGTGAAAGTCGGAGAGTGTTGCAAGAATCATGTGAATTTTTCCTAAAGCACAACTCTAAAGCAAAGCACAAGAAGAAACACTACAAATCCAGTTCTCACAAACTGAAAGTGATTTCGAAATCAATGGGGACTAGCACGGGTGCTACAAGCAATCATGGGACTTCCGGAGTGGCCATTGCTAACCATGATTACTTAAGCCATGAAGCTTTAACTGAGATCAAAAGTTGTCTGGAAGCATCTGAGAGAGAGATGGAAGCAGATGTTGTACGTAATCAGAGAGTGGAGGAAGAAGAGTTTCCTCATAATGAACAAAGCATGTTACAGATGCGATCCAGCCCTGCAGTGCCTGTGCAAGAACAAGAGACCAAAGCAGACAACAAGCAAGATATTGCTAGCCTACCTGAAAGCATGAAGAGAGCAGCTGAAGAACGGTAAGAAGGTTTCTGCTTTAGTTCATATCAACTACTGCATGTTCGTCTTACTAACTGCAAAGGTGGCAAAAATGCAAATAAACATTTGATGCATCTATACACTTCGGCACAAAGCATAAAATGTTAGATGCGGTCATTCAGATAGTAAATGTTTATATGGCCAAAAGACCCAAATAATAGTGTAGGTTCCTAGCTGATAAAGACAATGACAGTGTAATTTGGTCAGACGCAATAAAATGCAGATGGGGCACACATGCACATACTCACGGAAGGGGGGGATAAGTGCATGCATTCTCCCGCCACGTTCGTGGCTCGGTTGCAAATAGCTCACCACTCATTAGTGGACCACGGCCCAGAGGCTGGGTACCCCTGGTCTATGAGATCCCCAGGTCAGTTATTGATTTGTAAAATGAATCTTCCTTCACAGTGAGGATACATAGAGAATGACTACTATAGTGTATTTGCATGTTAAAATGCTAAATGGTATATGCAGGATTTGAGCTGGTTTCCTTCTCTGCTGCGCAAGATCTCAAATTGAAAATATGGAGTTTGTGCATCGTGCATACAAAGCATGTGACCTGTATATATTACTCATTGCATCCTATGCCTTGTTTAAAATGTGTTTATTTTCATGTCTGTTCATTTCACTGCTTTACTTTTATATTATTCATCTCAATGTAGAATGTTTCTTTTTGTGTATGTAATAGGACAACTCCTAAAAATGACATTACTGAAACTCTTCCACTCCAACTTGGTCATTCACATCGCAGTGTTTCCCAACTTGGCAGTACCAAGGGGTCAGGATTGCTGTTTGCCCACTCATCTTCAGATTCAAGGAAAGCTCAAGAGTCTGGTCATAGCTCAAATGGTTGAGAAGATGAACCGATATCAATTTGTCTACGCTGGCTTGGAATTCTCACCCTTGAAGTCTAGGTCTTCTGGGGAGCTACCAGGTCAGGAAAAAATATGTTTCACGAATAATTTGAGGTCAAGAAATGACTCCATTCTGGGTTAATGCTGGACATGAGACGTGCATTGTGTCTTGTAAATAAGCACACAAATACCCATTGCAACCAGGAAAAAATAAAATAATATTGCAGAGAGACACTGAGCACTTATTCCTTCTATGGAATCTGTTACCAAAAATAAAAGAAGAAAAGGGCAAATGTGTAATTTGCTTTATGTCAAACTGGAGAAATAATAAATGGAAATATGTTATATTCTGAAGAATATAATTGCCTTAAGATCTTTTTAGTAGTGCTATTTATACTTTAAAACGGAGTATGAACTGCTGACCTTTGTGTATGTAATAGGACAACTCCTAAAAATGACATTACTGAAACTCTTCCACTCCAACTTGGTCATTCACATCGCAGTCTCCATAAGCCTCAACTCCAGTTGCCCATGATTAAAGACGGTGCAACTTATACCAAAAGAACATCTGTTTATCCCCCTGTTCTTCATCTTAGGGATTAAACTAACATGAATTGCTGTGTCATACAATAATAAATTATGCAGAGTTTGTAGGAGGTGAAGTACTGGATGCATCTTAACAGAATAAAAGGACATTCCTTCAGTAATCTCTGAAGATCACTGAAAAAAAATTCAGGTAACAGCTGGGACTTTCTCAGTGGAAACGAGCTGAATCTTTCACTTCCCACTATCAACAATCTTTCTTACTATCTAATTGGGCAAGGTCATGCCTTATACAGGTAGTCTTCGACTTATGACTACTATTGAGCCCAAAATTTCTATTGCTAACAAAGCCCATTATATGACCTTTCTTGCCATAGTTTTTAAGTTAGTAACACAGTTGTTAAGTGAATCTGGCTTCCCCATTGACTTTGCTTGTCAGAAGGTTGCAAAAGGTGATCACATGACCCCGGAACACTGCAACCATCATCGATATATGCCAATTGCCAATCATTTAAATTTCGATCACGTGACCACATGGATGCTGCAACGATTGTAAGTGTCAAAAATGGTCATGTCACTTTTTTTCAGTGCCATAGTAACTTCAAACGGTTACTAAACGAGTGGTTGAACGTCAAGGACTACCTGTACTAAATCCTAAAATTCCTGCTGATTAAATGGTCAGAAGGATATTAAGGATATTGGATGAGTGCAAAATATTTCAAACTTGAAACAT